AATGGGTGCTCGGGAAATATTTACAGTTTTGCATTACCGCTTTGCAACTTAAATAAGAATGTCTGAAGAGAGATTTCTATTCCTGTGGTCTCAGTGTGGCTATATATATCTGACCTGTGCCCATTTGCAGCACCTATGCAGATGTGTAATTGATTAAATGCTTCCCTTTTGCTCTTGAAAGATAAACAGGAAACTGCACATTTTCTGCAGCAGGGGTCCTTGCTGGAAATCTTTCTTTGGCTCAATAGTGCTCTATTGTTATGAGCAGAACATCAATATAATTAACATAAGAAGCCCTTAGAGGCCAATTTCAAGTGAAACCACATTTAATTGTAGGTATTTCTTTTATTCCCCAAGATGATGATAACTTTCCAATTGGGCATATAAAATGTGTCAAACTCCTCACAAAGTCAATCTTTTTTAAAGCAAAATTATATAGTCTACCAATTCCCAGAAGTACAGAATTACTTTGACCAGCTGACCGAAACAAAAAGAAAAAGAAAGGTGAACCAAGGGGCCTAAGTACTCAGAAAATCAAATCCAATCCACGTTTTGACGTGTTCTGAATTTCCTGTGTTTCCAAGCAAAACTGTATATGCTCTTTGAAAGTTGTGTTTTGCTACAATAAAAATCCTGAGATCAATATCAGTTTTGTTTTTTGTTTTTTGTTTTACATCTCAGTATTTTTCCAGTAGCCCAAATGTTTTTTGTTTTTTCAGTTCTAAAATTTTCCATGGCCTAAATCCATGGTGTTAAGAAGATAGGGTCAGCATGCACAGAACTCCATATAGGAGGTAATCAATATATATGCATTAATCAAAGCAATGAATGGCCATCGATTAGACATTTGCCAAGGCTCTAGATGTGTGAGGAGGAACGTCTAGAGTCACGAGGGACAAGCAGGACAGGACTTCAACCTCTCTAAAGTTCCAAGTCAGCTTCACTTTGTCCACTCAGCAGGCTCAGTACCCCCAATAACTTGCTCTCACTGTTGCTAGCCAATTTCACCTGTGGCAGGTGCCATGTGGACTAAGGATGACCAGGGCAAGGTACAGATAATCTCTCCTCCAAATATCCCTTAGCTCAGAAGTTCACTCATTGCCCATCCATTCAGAGCCATCTTTTCACAGGGCCTTAGAGTTTAGACTTAATAAACATTTCCCAACCTGCCACAAGGTCATTGCTAGACTTTTCTGATTTCTCTCCCCAGAAATCTCCACATTGCTTTGTGTGTGAATATAGGTTTTAATATAATTTCATGTATTAAAGTTTCATATAGATTGATTGATAGGAAGTCAAACTAACAAATATGTTTCCGTATCTGTGTATTTGAGAGTGTTGGGGGATCTGGAGGGGACTTTGTTTCATTTTATTTTGTTTTTGTTGGATTTTTTTTTTTTTTGAGATAGTCTTATTGTTGCAATCCATACTGGCCTCAAAGTTGATGTCCTCTTGGTGTAGCCTCCTGAGTCCCAGGGTTACACATGTACAGCATCAACCCTGCCACTATTTTGAGTATGTGTTTAAACTAAGAACTGCTTACATATAACTTGCTTAAGAACACAGTTATGCCAGTTTGGCAAAATAACCATACATTATTAAACATGGTTAAGAAGGTTAATGATTGCTTACTCCTTTCTCCTTGGTATCTAATATGGATGAGTTTACAGTGGGCAAGATACAGAATGTTTTCATTGGTAGTCTATTTTCTACTATTTCTTATAAAAACTCAAAAGAACTACAACTTCTGGGCAGTGCTGCTCAGCGGAGAGCTCCAGCAATATGAGCTGGAGCGGGAAGAGGAAAATGAAAGGATCGCTTTCTCTCTCCAGGCTTGCACCGTGATTAAACAACCTTGATCCATAAATCCTGTCCTCCGATAATAGGAGTCTGTTGCCTTGCACTCCCATTCGCTGATGACACTAATGTCTGTGCATCCTGGAGAGAGCATTATTCAAATGGCCCCAGCACTGGGGCTGCTTGCTGCCCTCCCAGCCTTCTCCAGCTGAGTCTGAGCTCCTGAACAACACCTGTGGTGGGGGCACTGGGCTGAGCACAGCCACCCTAGTGTTCAGAACTCCTGATGTAAAGGAACGTTTTTATTAATGTCTGCTTCAAATGTTGGCGTCCCTCTCCTCAGGCCATTTCCTTGTCTACATGGAGATTCAGAATAATTTCCTTCCTCCCTTACATTGTCCCTTGGAGGTATTTTATAATCAGAGTGCACGTTCCTCTCTCTATTTCTGAGGCTTTTTTGTTTCGGGCAGAATGTGCTCAATCTCTCTGGCTTGGTCCTCTGTCTCTCCTGTCACACCCGCTTGCCTCATGTATGTTCTCAACAGGAACAGAACAAAGAAGCGTTATAATCTAAGTTCTGGCGGTGAGATGACTATAATGTCCCTCATCCTGCCCAGTATCTGAAGTGTTTATTTTTTTTCAATCATTTGAAATGTAAAATAACAATTTGAAATCCCCAAGCTGTTATAAAATGTTGTCTGCCCGTTGGCACAACCATGACCATTTCAGTCTTGATACCAAAGCACCTGTGATGACTTCTATGACACCCTCACAAGACCAGGCCCATTAACAGTACCTCACAGAAAGAGAAACACGAGGAGGGCCACGAGACCCTCACCTAAGATGCCAGCTCTTTTCTTCTACACGCATGCAGTCGCAAGCACTCCTGCCTCAGCTGCGCATCTCTGGAGTGCTAGAGAACACAGGAGGTAGCATGTTGGCTAAGTGGGGAACTCCATGCACCCCCTTTCAGTAATGGAGCTGTTGAGGGGTCACCCAGGTTTCTGGAAGCAATCCCAGTTAAACTCATTGGTTCACCAAGCTGGTCTTGGATGGGATCATTTCTCTGGTCTGTTACTGATACCCGATCTAGGGTAAAAAATGGTATTTGTTTCCCTCTACCCTGGAGAAGTAACAGAGAAGACCCCTAGCACCACAGAAAACATAGAAACTGGACCATTGAAAGGATATGTATCTGACTTAAAACTTCCTATAAAAGGAGCTGAGTAGCTCTTGGACTTCTGCTTGGTGCTCAGCGGGTCTCCGGTCACCCCCGCGCCTCCTGCTTTGGCTCCTTTGCGACTCGCACTTTACTTACTCCCCATCTAAGTCTGCATTTCTATTTTTATTAATATCATCCCACTTTGAAGTTCTGGCCTTTCATTTTGTAATACCTCCTGTGCTTCATACAGCTTCATAAATAAACAACATACAATTAGCATATTTTTACTGTAGAACAAGAAGTAAAACAAAGAAAAAGAGGTTCTAATAGGTAAATTCCAATCACAGAGTTTGAGAAAGTATGCAATCAGTCTAGAATGTTTTAAGTGGCGGTTAATTAGTTATTAATTTTCAGTAGTCCTGGTTTTCCTTGTTATCTGACACATTTAATTTAGAAAAGAAAGTGTTCCCATGAAGGTGTTCTTTTGAAGATAAACACAATATAAATCTACAGTTTTGTGGGAAAGCAAGAAATCCAGAAAGCTATGGTTTTGAAAACAAAAAGTAAGTCAGAAAGAATTGCTGTACCTAATGAACAGGCCCACTGTGTACTTACAGCAATCAGGATAGAGTGCTACAAGAATGGACACAAATAAATGGAATAAATGGAGAATTCAGAAACAGACTCACACAATGTAAACAGCTGAGTTTTAGACAGATATTAAAAAATAAGAAAAACAATCAATGGGAAAAGTAGATGTCGCCAGTGCAAAAGATAACCACAAGCCTCTCTCTCCCTTGATGTGAAAACTGCTCCAAGATGATTGGGGACTTACACATTAAACTTAAGGAAGAAAATCTTTGGGGACTAGGTTTATAAAAAGAGTCCTTAGAATTGACTTCAAAACTACAATTTATTTGAAAATTGACAAGTTTTATTTCATCAAACCTAAAAAGATTGTTCTACAAAAACTCAAAGATGAGAAAAAGAAGCTACAGGATAGAAGGAAATATTTTCAAAACATTGCCTTCAACAAAGGCCCATTATGGACCATGTATAAAGAACTCATCACATAGCAATTAGAAATTCCAGCAATGCAATTAAAAAGTAGAAAAAATACAAGAGCTATTTCATGTAGCAAAGTATACAGGTAACAAAGTAACAAATTAAAAATATTCAATGCTTTTAGCCATTTGGAGAAGAAAATTCAAACCATAATAAATTACCATTCCCTACCTATCACAACAGTTTAAACTAAAGAAGGGATACTACCAAATATGTCAAAGATGATGAAAATTTAGATGACTCTTAGGTTGCTAGTCAGAATGCAAAAGTGATCATTTCTTTACAAATGAAGCATGCAGATTCTGCAACACTCTAATCATAATCTGGAGCATTGCCTCAGAGAAAGGACAACATGTCACCCACAAAACTGTAAGCCAACTGGAGCAGTCTTCATTTAATCTCTAGAAACTAGGAAGAGTGTAGATGTTCTTCAACAAGCAGGTGACTAAACAAACCACCCGTGGAACATCCATACCAGGGATTAAGGTTCAAGGATGGATCCAGTCGACAGCCTGAATACCTGGAGAATTATACTGGGTGGACACAGTGACAAAGTGATTCTATCATAGATGTAAAAGCAACAGTAAAAGTGTAAAAGTTGTAAAAATAGAGAACAGACTGGCTGGTAAGTATGAGTTAAGGGCTCTGTGTGTGTGTGAGAGAGGGGGGGTGTAGACAGAGGGTGAGATTATAAAAGAGCAGCAAGTGAGACTCCTAAATTGATTGGAAGATCTGTTCTGTGTCTAAACTGTATAGATAGACATCAATATTCTGGCTAAGATGCCATGCTGTTTCGTTGCAAGATGTTATCACTGGCAGAGACTAAGGGAAAGTATTTCTGAATACTATTTCTCCGTATGAACCTACAATCATCTCTGAATAAAAATTTTAGTTAATAAAGAAATTATATTAGCAAATTGTAAAGATAAATAAAAAGAGAATGATATTAATTTCCTCTTCTCGGCTTCTCTATAAGGTTTGCGGGGTGCCATCGCCTTCGCCCTGGCCATCCGCAACACAGAATCTCAGCCCAAACAGATGATGTTCACCACCACCCTGCTCCTTGTATTCTTCACTGTCTGGGTGTTCGGAGGAGGAACCACTCCCATGCTGACGTGGCTTCAGATCCGGTAAGCGACCCTACTAAAATGAGCAAATCATTGAGAGGTGTGGCTGGCTTGTTCCATTTATAGTAAAGCTGACTTGGTTGGGAGTGTAATGGTAGATCTGTACCTCAACTGTCCCCAGAGTCCTGGTGACCTTCACTAACAGGTGAAGCTATATGACCTACCATACACTGAGCTGATATTTTTCTTTTCTTTCTTTTTTTTTTTTTTTGTTTGTTTGTTTTTTCGAGACAGGGTTTCTCTGTGTAGCTTTGCACCTTTCCTGGAGCTCACTTGGTAGCCCAGGCTGGCCTCGAACTCACAGAGATCCACCTGGCTCTGCCTCCCGAGTGCTGGGATTAAAGGCATGTGCCACCAACGCCCGGCCTGAGCTGATATTTTTCAACCATCTTGGAATGGTGTCTGTTTCCAAGCTGTCCTACAAACAGATTTATTCACCAGTGACTTCTTCCATTCAATGGATGATATTAGAGTTCAGTGTAATACACTATAGACTTAATAAGTAAAACACACTCTTGTCCTCGGGATACCCACAGTCTAGTAAGACTGTTAAAGAAAAGGCACTGAAACTAACAAGAATGCAGATTCCCTTTGTTTTTAACTCCTCTTGGCTCTAGCACTTAAGATAGGATAAAATGCTTAACACATATTTGGTGAGAAAGCCATATGTTTTTCAAAGGGGATGCTGTACACTTTCTCACAGAAAAGAAAGCCAAGGTCCCAGTCAGAAACCCTCTAATAAGCAGTGCCTGCCCCTGGCTGCTACAAGTCTGGATTGTAGGGGTAGCAAACAATTAGATAAAAGTGGATAGCTGATGCCAGTTTGGAAAATGGCTAAATCTGTCATAAAGTGTTCTTATCTTTATTTAAATGTTTCTGTGACCCAGGTCCTCCTTTTCAATTCCCAGAAGGTAAGGGATTAAGTAAACATTTTATTTCTCACATCCATACATCATAATGATCCTCCCCAGTTCCTAACTGTTCTCTAGGACAAACCCCCCATGTCTGATAGGAAAAGATCTTTCTCAAACAAAGAGTTTCTGAGAAGACTCATTAACAGAGACTGTGATTTCGGCACCATTGTATGGCACATTGATTATAATAAAAATGAATAAATAACTCATGAAAACCTAAATTAATATAACTATAAATACAAATGCTTTTGTTACACATTTGCAAGAATTTTCTCCATTCGCCAAAGAAAAAACAGAAGCAAGCCTCACACATTTAGTATAAGAAGGCTGGTGTGTAAACCAGGCCAAGTGGCTGCGAATTAAACCGCATTTCAGGAAAAAAAAAAAACCCGTAGACTACTGTGAATATTACTAAACACACAAAAGTGCCTTGACTAAAGGTGAACAGTGAGCATTTTGAAATGCTTCTTGAATTATTTTCTAGCCACATAAATGTGGCCTGCAATTCCTTTCACAGTGGTGGTTACCTGAAGGCGCCTACGGATGAGTACACACATTGCATTAAACTCTCAAGTGTTGGGTCCCCTGCAAAGCGTTAGTGAGACAGTGGTGTGTTCAGATTTCTGGAAAATAAAATTCAGGAGGTTGGATCCCTGCGTGGAAAAATGAGGGCATAGAAGGCAGAGCTAAGAGAAGGTGAATTCCACCGACGTATCAAATACACGTCAAGATATTCTACGGAGGACACAGGGAGAGATGTCAGAGTTTCCTTAAAGTAATCAGGCATAATCTGTTTTCTGTGATTTCTTCCCTTACTCTCAAATTGGTAGCATACTTTGTGTAGCCAGCTCTCCTGCAGAGCTTTCCAGTGGCGTCAGCTCACTTCCCACGGGTGTCGTGACTTACATGGTCTCTGATGCCCAGTGAACTGGGAAGAGAGAGATGTGATAGTGGACCCTTGGACTGGCTACAGCAATTATCCAGGTGACAACACAAGGCTGATAATGAAAACGGATGATGTCAAACACGCTATCCGGGATGAGGTACTTGAAGGTCAACCTAAGTCAATGTCATCCTCACTGCCAAGATCACAGCATGGGGTCACCTCATGGAGCTGCCCCAGTTGGGGAAGATTCTGAAAGGAAAGGAAAGGCCCAGGGGAGTCAGCACCCGACCTGGCCACTAACCAGGATGAGGAGATGCATGGATAGGACCACAACATCGTAGGGAAAGGAAGCAACAGGGATTCGGGCACATGGAAAGGGTGTTCTCAGCTGAAAACCTGGAATCAGGGCAGAAACCCCAGAGACCCAGCCTAAGGAAATCAAAAGAAGAGCACTGGGTGGTATGGACATGAAGATGTTCAGAAAGTTAGCTCAGGCAGATAGAATTCAAGGCAATAAGGACATTTCAAGGCCAGGATGGTAAAAGTATATATGTGTGATGATATCGTGTCCCCCAATATATTGTGTATCCTAATAAACTTACTGGGGTCAGAGAACAGAATAGCCACCAGATAGACATAGAGGCCAGAAAATGGTGACACACGTACCTTTAATCCTATCACTTGGGAGGCAAAGATCCATCCGGATCTCTGTGAGTTCAAAGCCACACTGGAAACAGCCAGGCATGGTGACACACACCTTCAATCCCAGGAAGTGATGGCAGGAAGCAGAAAGGTATATAAGGCATGAGGACCATGAACTAGAGACTTTTAAGCTTCTAGGTTTTTAGCAGCAGTTCAGCTGAGATCCATTCAGGTGAGGACTCAGAAGCTTTCAGTCCGAGGATTCGTGGAAACAGAATCAGCTGAGGAGTTGGTGAGGCGAGGCTGGCTGTGGCTTGTTGTGTCTCTCTGATCTTTCTGCATTCACCTCAATATCTGGCTCCGAGTTTTTTTTTACTAATGAGACTATTTAGCAACTCGTCTACACATATATGTTATTGCACATATATGCAATAACACAGATGTGTGATTGGGTTCAACTGTGTTATAGTGATCCTGTCACAGACTCCACTGTCCTATCCTGGCTTGTAATGTTGTTAACGAAACCATCACATCTATCTCGGCTTTCAAGCTCACAGCTGCCCATCCCCTGCACTGTGTGTACAGGGCCTGCTTCTTCACAGTGCAGTGCCACATTCACCAGCATTCAGGTCAGACTCTCCATGGAACAACAGCATGCAAGTTACAACTTGGATAAAAGGACAGCAGTGGTAAAAGCTGAGGGACAGAATGCAGATGTGACCCCACACAAGCCCCACATTCTTGCTAGATTATGATTTGTTTACATATTACACAAGCCCTTTCCTTCTTAGAGAATTTTCTTCTCTTGAATTATTTGGAAAGTCCTTGAATTAGGTTTTCTTTTTCAATTCCTATAGATTTTCATTCAGTTACAAACCACCACAGGAGGAAATAAGGAAAATGTTCTTTGTTGGTAGCAATTAGTAGCCATAGCATCAGTTTCTCTTTGATAGACATGACTCAAACAGCAATGGTCATGTCATAGAGGCAGGAATAAAGATCTCCGCCACAGTGAAGAAACCCAAGACACAGTTTGCAAGAACTGTCTAGTGCTAGACAGAAAACCAGAGAGCTGGAAGGTCCCAGGCTCCCCCACCACACACACACACACACACACACACACACACACACACACACACACACACGTCAGTAAACAGGATCACCAACCCCGAGTTCACATGTGCTTACAAATGAACAACAAAGCCCAAGAGGACCGGCTCTGTGGAAGCGGCACTACACAATTAGCTGGGATGGTAATGCCTTCCTTGGTTTAGGTTTGGGCACCATGTGGAGCTAACAGACTCTCAGTAAATGGTACATGAGAATGAGTCCAGACCGCAGGGTGAACCTTTGCCACATTTCCCAGATACAGATGCAGGACCTGCCTTCTCATGAACTTACTGCTAAATCACAGCTGGAATCATAGCCTCACCTACACAGGTAGCACAGAACTTGCCTCCCAGACAGCATTGCAAAGCACCCTGGGCAGAATGATGGTGACATCTAATCGTAGCCATCTTCAACTGAGTAATTAACCATTTTGTGTTGAATATTAGATTGTAAAATCCAAGCACAGACCCTCTCTGTCTCAGTCTCTAAACTCTAAAATAGAGGTGATGATGGTAGCTATTTCTGAGCAAGGGTTAAACCTGGTGATGTGGCATTATTGTGGGGTTGCGGCTTGAACAGAAGATGCCCCCAGCAGAATGCATGCCCCCAGATAATGCATTCTGCTCCCACCTGCATAAGGGAGCTCATTCTGAATGCCTGCAGTCTACCTTGATTAACAGACCCTCTGGGGGAGAAAAGGTATACATTCATAACAAGACAGGCCTGTAAAAAACAGGCGCAGGAAGGCCTTGTCTCCAGGGAGGACTGAGAAGGCTCAATTTTGTAACAGATTCTCCATGCAGTCTTTCTCTGTGACCTGCAAAAGTTAAAGTTCAACAAAGCCAGCCCTGACCCAAAGTTCCCAAAGGAGGAAACCTGTCTTCCTCAGCTACAACCTAGAATTAAAAGAATTACAGGAATTTATTATCCTTCCTTATTCAAGCCAAGCCATCCCTCACTCTCTTTCCCAAATCAAGGAAACAAAATTGTGTATACTAGCCTGTGTCCATTACAGGGAAATAACTTTTAGATAGTTTGACTCCTCCGGGTATTGGTACTTTAGTTGTATATTTAAAATTGATTCTTGAGTCTTGGCCCAAAGCCATGCAAAAATACTTTCTTATCATTTTTGCCCACTGGCTATAAAGTTCTATGATAACAGTTATCATTGGAATGTATACAGAGATACAGAGATAATGAGAGTTCTGTCCTAGAGAGAGAGAGAGAGAGAGAGAGAGAGAAACAAGTTAAGTACAAGTGCTTACACACAAAATTTCCTGTATTATTGAGGTGAGGAAACACCAATTTAATACAGTGGAGGGATGCTTATAGTAAGTTCTCTTACAGTTTATCTGTTTGGTTTCCTCCCTGACACCAAAGTTCCCAAGCATGCTTAACAATTTTCTTCACGGAGAGATTAATGCAGTAAATAGCGCGCGTGTGCGCGTGTG